ATTCTGTACTCTCGAATAAGGCATTGGCCAATTTGTTGAGTTCGTCCTTCTCTTATCTGGACTCTCACAATAAATAGTTCAAGGCATCATAAATAATCTGTACATCTAGCTCAGTGTAACACTTTCAGTGTTACATGTAATATCATTCACTAGCCTACCAAACCAAAGTACTAAAAAGACTAGGAGAATGGTAATCAGTCAGTTAATGTGCATAATTATATGTACAGAGCCCAAGTTCTGAGCAGTATATTAAAAATTGGTTGATTGTGGATAGACCTGTTGTAGTATCGCTGTTTTAAACTTACTTCTCCTCTAGTTTTATTTTGCAGATAGACCCTCAGAGTGAATTCTTTTCCACTCTTTTACCTTCGGAGAAAGAGAAATTTGTTTTTTTTAATGGCAAATAGACCAAGTGAGGGTAAAAGAGTCCAAGGTTTCACTCAGAAGTCTATCTGCAAAACTAAAACTAGAGGCGTAGTAAGTTCAAAACTGTGATAATACATGAGGTCTATCCGCAATTAAGTGAAATTCACCTTTTTCAAAAACATCATTTGATAACAGGGTAAATTGCAGATAACCACCCTTCCTACATTATCCTTAGGCTTTAGCTAGCACGTACCAACCCGAGACTGGAATTTTGAGAAGTATAAATTGCAGATGCCCCCCTTACTTATAAATTGAGGGGTTATAAATGCTAATACACACACACACACTACGAGAAACACCATCGGATTTTAAAGTAGTCCGGTCTAATTCAAAAATTTCACCTAATTGTGCTTAACTCTTGATAATATCTATGCTGATATATGGATATGCACACATTTACTCTGCAGAAGGTGATTGCTGATAATCAAACAATCTACGATCTCTATCACAATCTCTTAACCCCAACGCACGTGATGTATGGTTAAGAACATTAGATATCCATACCGATCTGAGAGTAATCTTAAGACTAATAGGTGATGCCTTCTTCAATGACGCTATTGAAGCCAAAATCCATTCATCAGACCCATGTACAGCTTCTTGTTCCTGTAATAGAGGAACTAGATGCTTAGCCTTGTGTTCATGAACACCAACAGCCAAGAAACAAGAAAAAATGAAAAAAAAAGACAAAAGATACAATAAACTAAGCAAAAAAGAAAAAATATATCATTTCATATTCATCTTATATAAACCAACTTACAAGGGCAGCCAAAATTTCTTCAGTGGTTCTTTTAGAGAAGCATCTATCAATTATGTCCATTCTGTAAGTAACCATATAGATCAGAAAGAAAAATAGAGGAAGACAATTAAGCCATACAATTGTGGAATTAGATAATGTAAATTGTAGATTAATTAAAAGAAAAGTAACAGAGTTCAAAGAGCTCGTGTAACAGCGCATATCCTTATATGAGTTTATGACCTTCTGGCTTTGTGTTCTGTAGAGATATCCTCCCATCACCCAAGAACTAAAAGGAAATTTGATAAATGATAAATTAAACAATGATAATTTAACTTATACAATTTACAGAACGAGTTCACTCTCAACTTTCCCATTTTACTGTCATGTCAGAAAAGTGGAAAACACATGCCCACATCAGCCCTAGATTAATTTCAACAATATGAGTACTAGATTTCAACATGGCTGTGCATGTAAATTACGCTAGGTAAGGTGGTAATGTTTTGAAATATTAGGGAAAAAGGTTTAAAAAGAACAATCTTGCAAAATTATATAGGTTAAGTTTATAACTTCCTTTTTTAGGTATAAATATAAACTAGTTACGGAAAGATGCTCATTCACATGGGATACTGATTCAGAAGGGAAGAACTTGCATCAGTATCTCTATCACCTTTCCATTTATCCGCATCCCTTTATTTTTTTCCTTGCAAATTCATAAACTACTTGAAATGTGATAAATCAATTTTATTCATTAAATAATATTCTTCACTGAATATGAATATTCATAGTTTGTTATGAGGGAAGTTGGCTGAAGAAATATATGCATCGTTTACCTATTATAAGCACTTTTTTCTCTCACAGGCATCCGTTCTGAGAACTGGTCGATGATTCTGCAGATGGTAAAAGGATCAGAACTCTCTGCCCTAACAAGCGATTCCTCCAGCAAATCCAATCTCTGGTAGCGGACAGACCACAAGTTAGAAATGCATTTTTAGCATACTTGGTTCTCTACAACTTCGAAAGAAAGGAACAAAATCTAAGCAGTTAAAACATATACAGTGTTGGGAAAGAGAAACCTTGCATTTTAGTTGGCATGTTGCATATGATAATTAAGAAAATTAAGAAGACTATTAAGACAGCAAATAAAGGATAGTTCTAATAACACCGAGGTAAGAGAAAACAACATCTGATACATTCATAAGTTGGTATTTGCATTCAATGAAAGATAAGCATACCGTTGAAGGAACAAAATGTGTTGCAAGGCCACATGCAAGCATTTCAGCCCCTTCCAATCTTGCACCAGTCAGACCAACAAACTCTCCTGGAAAGAAACAAAAATATCATGTAAATATAGTTTTATGTGGCATTTGTTAAAGACGATTAAGTTCATAACCTTAAGGAAGAATCCACTGGATAAATGTAAGCATATACACAACTTGACGAAAAAACATCAGATAAAAATGCATAATGCATGTGGTAGATCCTCCCACTTTGGAACCACAATTCAAATTGACGGGTCCATGTTCTTCATTGCAAACTTGACAACACAATGAGATTGTGTTGTTTGCTAAAAACGTAAAGCAAGATGAAAAATGTGAGGGAGGTGCCATGATGCAGGACAATCTACAAGATTTGGGTTTGGATTAAAAATTTTAGTTAGGATATTATAGTTTATCTTTTTAGTTAGAACAGTGAAGTTACAATTTTAGTTACATAGTTTGTTTGGTTTTTTTGTTCTCTTTAGATGATATCTTCGTTATGGAGTTTATTTGATGTTATCCATAGTGCATTAGTTTTTTTCTTTATAAATAACCTGTAATATCTATTTTGGAGGTCAGAGATTGATTAATAAAAATTATAAGATTTTAAATATTTTTTGAAGCTTGTGAGTTGCATTAGGTGTGAAGCCATAATTTCCAAGGTTAGATGTGCATGTGAAGCCAAACTAGCCAAGTTACCTCTTCTATCTTTATTTTATTTTTTGTTTCTCTCCTCAAATTAATCCGCTGCCGCTCCATAAAAAAAGATTTTTTTGGTTACTGTACCTAATATTGATTTGATGTGAACAATACCTCGCCTCGATGCCAATCTCGCATGATTGTTGCAATCAGTCCCTCTGACGATCCAACACCCTTTGACAATCTATTCAGATCATCTACGACCTCGGATGATCAATGTCGAATCTTTTCGGATCAGAGTCATTTCAGTCTGTTCCTCATCATTTGGTATCAGAGCAAGTTGGTTACACTGGGAAGCTCAAGAAAATCTTGCTTAAAATGAATGAGAGAAACAAACAATTGAACAGATTGATAGTGAAGGGAAGCATTAAGAGATATCCTAAGCTAGAACTGGAGCTAGAAGCAGAAGCGAATCAGGTGATATAGCTTCAGTCCCAGCTTGTACTCAAGCCCAAACTGAAGCTCAAACTTGATCCTGAACAAGAATAGAGCAAGAGATAGATTTTGACCAAAAGTTAGAATCTGAACTCGAGCCTCAGGCTGAAATAATGACCTATAATCACCACTTCATTTAATTTACTTCAATTTCACATGGTTATCTACTTCATTATTCCAGATAATAGAGCAAGAGATAGATCTCGACCAAAAGTTAGAATCTGAACTTGAGCCTGAGGCTGAAATCATGACCTATAATCACTTAAAGAGTCCACTTCAATTTAATTTACTTCAAGTTCACATGGTCATCTACTTCATTATTCCAGATCCTTCACCACCAACCCAATATCAAATTTTGCATATATTTTGCTGAGGGATGGTTCAGTCTATTCACATTACTCTTCACAGTACAGTTCATCCGAAGTATCATCGATGATTTTCCGTTCCATGTCATTTGGTACCAAAATCAAAAGATCCACTGTTTCAACTTCGATATCAATAGTGAAGCACTTCAAAGTCCGTCAATGTCATTCAAATTAAACCCAAGGTGAGTTTCTCAAAGAGGAGGCTTGTAAGGATTTGATTTTTATTTTAATTAAGATGTTTTAGTTGAAACTGTTATTTAGTTTTATCTGTTAGTTAGAATAATTAGATATGATATTTATTATCTTTTTTATTCACGAGTTTGTTAGATTTGATTAGGACGTTGATCCTATAAATAATGATGTATTTCTTCCTTTTAAGATGAAAAATTGATGAATAAAAATTTAGTTTGGAGAAATTGTGGAGTGATTATTCAAGGCGCGAAGCCAGTTTTTTTCTTTTTTTTGTATTACGAATTTGTGTACGAAACCGGCATTTTCCATCGTTTTCAGAGGCTAGATACTGTGAGGTGAATCCAATCTAGCCTATTTATCTTCTATCTTTCTTTATTTGGTCGATTATTAGATACCAACAATGAAAAAGAGAAAAGTTATTGTTCATGGGTACTGTTCACCTCCGACCACTATTCATGACCACCTCCATTCCGCATCATGCCGTGGTCAAAATAATGTGAGATAGATGCTACAAGATTTTCTGCGGGAGGTGTCCCTTTCTTCAACCGGAGGAAGTGAGGATCGTTTATAGGACAACACCCTCAATGTAAAGGAACACCTCCCATAGAAAATGGTGAGCTATGCCACCTAACTCACTATTTCACATCCCCCTCATTTTCCATCTTGCTTCACGTTCTTGAAATAGTAATATCCATCCTCCTGTGCTCTCCGGAATGCTCACTTATCTACATCTAAGAATTGATAATCACAATTCTAGTTGATCCTAGAGTCTAACATATGACCCCACCCCCCACCCCCCACCCCCCCCCCCCCCCCCCAAAAAAAGCAACAACAAATGTTTTGTGCATGTGCGTAATAACTATTAGAGATGTTCATTCGCATGTAGATAATGTTAACAACAAATAGAACTCCAAGTCATGACATGTCCAAGGTAACCCCTTCCAAATACAATTTACAAAAAGATAAAAAACTGCAGAACGATAGTCTAAAAATGGCCATTGATCTAAGCATACAGTTTTCTACTTAACTCAAACGCACTACCTCAACTACTAATCTAAGCATCAAAAGGTTATAGATCTGGTGGGAACACCTAGGATTCCTCTGAACTCTTACTTTTCCCCACAGCTAAGGCATGTAGTCTCCTCCATGCGAGCCCAACCCAATTCAGGCTATACCAAAATTTGGATAAACACTGTTTTCTCTGAGAATGAAGCCAGCATCACAGACCACCTAAGCAGCTAGCAATTTACAGCTTAGCATAGAATCTCAAGATATCAGATATGCGCTTGTGGTGGCCGAAGTACTTTAGGTTGCAAATTCCAAATATTCTACTGACTTTAGCCAGGAAATTCAAGGAATACCAGCCTCTATCTCCTACAATTTTGAGTTTGTAGTAAGTTTTACTATGATCCTAAAAGTTTCAAGAGACTTTACCCATACTATGCAAAATGGTTTAACGTTAAACTGAAACAGATTGATACAAATTCACTGTCAAAATCAGTATGGAGCCAGGAATTTCGGCAAGAGGGTCCAGAAAATATTAAACACGATAACATATACAACAATTGCAAAATTGATTAGGATCTAAATATCAATCATTCCATGACTGGTAAAAGATAAAATGTATGAATATGAAAAGTTTAAACACATATTATCATTTCAAACACTGCTTTTAAAAAGCCTCCGCCTAGTCCGCATAGGCGTACACCTAAGCCTAGGCGGTGCCTAGACTGCCTAACTAGCGCCTAGCGTCTGAGTGATACTTAGGCTGCCCACCTAGGTTTTGAAAGTGTTTAGGAGAGCATTGTCTGCTTACGTGGACTGCACCCTTTAGGCCTTTATCATTATTTTCTATGTTACAGCCTCCACGTTCTCCAACCTCATTCAAGCTCTTTTAACCTCCAAATATGAACACCCCCGCTACCTCCTCCGACCTTTAGCAAAACCTCCTTGACCACCACTTAAATAAAGAAAGAAATTCGCCTAAACACCTGTGCGGCAACTAAACTTTCTATAACATTGATATTTATTATCAATTATTATCATTAAAAAATAAAAAAAGAAAACCTCCTAGGCTCTAGGCATCAGGTCCAACGCTTAGGCCTACTAGTGCTTTCTATAACCTTGTTAATTATTATTTTAGTTATTTAGTATTTAAGTATGCATGGTTTATTGTGGACCTAAGATTGCTATCTTTTTTTTACAAATTTATATGAATTTAATATATATTTTTATCAATTATTATAATTAAGTAATATAAAAAATAGTCAAACGCCTAGGCGTCTAGGCGTTAGCTCAAACGCCTAGTCCACCTAGCGCCTTCTGTAACATTGATTTTAAATATAATACAATTATATTTTTTAATGAAATTTTCTCGTTTATCTTCATACTCTTTTGGTGTGGGCTCTTGATGATTAGAGTGAGAATTTTTATTTGATTTGTTTAGGAATTTGAGGATTATGACCTTGTTGAGATGAATACTGATACTTTATTTTTATTAACAATTAAATTTTTATGATTGAGAAGAATTGAATTTCATAATTGCATTCCTTAGACTCTAATGGGTTCATTTGGAAACTGTATTCCTTAGTGGGTCTGATTGTAACTGTAATTTCTTGGATGTTTGCTAGCTGAATAGGTATTAAGTTGAAAGCTTGGACTGCACCACATAGATGACAACCTAACTATGGACTACAATCTCTTTCTTTAAGCTTTTGGTATTAAGAAATCTTAACCATTGTTTCCCCAATTCTTTCTTCTACCTTCTTTCTTTGCCCTAATTTCTCTCTAAAGTGCAATTCAACCTCATCCATGGCAGAAAGAGAAGTCACGAAGCCAAAGGAGAGCTTGTGAACCTTTCATAATGGCAGAGGGAAGGATGGCCAGAAAGAAATAAAACTCTTGCGAGAAGAGAAAGAGCACAATCATTTGCTTTTGTTTGTGGGGTTTACACTTAATTAGCCCCTACACTTTAAAAATTACTGTACATCAATGCCTATAGTTTTTTTATCCAAGCCGCTAATGGAGGGGGGTAGTGGTGGAGCTACATAGTGTCCAGCGGTGTCACGAAACACCATTGAATTTCCTACTTTATGTATAAGTGTGTTTGTGTGTGTTTTTTATTTTTACTTGTAATTTACCACTTAGGACACCACTCGAGTTAGAATAGGACACTACTAGAAGAATAAAATTATAAAATTGTCAATCAGATTCCAATTTTCAATTACTATCGTGATAAGAGATACTGTAATTAAATAGTGAGTGATTATTCTAAAATATGAAACTATAATTACTTGATGGAATATATTGTAAATTGAACACTGCAAAATATTAGAAGAAACCTACTAAAATATGTAAAGTGAACAAAGTTAATAGGCACAACTTCTATTTAAGCCGCAACCTTTTTCATTTTTCTGAAAAAAAAATGCTAAACATAAACCTAATCCACCGACATTGCAAATTCGCAAGTGCAAGCTATCGTCAAGAAATTATGCAAGTAAGTTGTCTTCTCCGGTGATCACTGCAAGTGCAGAAAGGGTCTTTTCTGCAATGAATTTATAAAAAATAACCTGTGTAATCGGATGTGTGATCATTGGATGAATGATTTTCTGGTGACATTCATTGAGAAAGATGTATTTAATACTACTAATAATGAGTCTATTACTAAACGTTGTCAAAACATAAAAACTCGTCGAGGACAATTATGAAAGTATTTGATGTATTATTATTATTTTTGCAATGAATAAAAGTTTTTGGTCAGAATTTTATTTTACCATTCACATTTTTATTTCTGATGCATTGATAAGTTATATAGTGACACCACCGGGACAAAATTCTGCCTATGCCACTGGCTTTTGGGGGGGTGGGGGGAGGCAGGGCCGTATTGGACCCTATAAGGCTCCGCCCCTGGTCAAAACCCCAAGCTTTGCTTTCCCTTCTGAGAAAAATGTCCAGTGTCTGGATTAATTTAGAATAGAAACACTAATGGCATCAAACCTTTGTCCGTTCATGAGAACCACCTTATGGGTCTCCTTTGAAACAGTTGTAGAGACAAGTTTGATCGGTATAGTCAAAGGCTACAAGTAATGACAAAAGAGGCTAAGTTACCACTTACTTCATCCATTCACCATCGAGGTTTAAGAGAGAGTAGTAATAAGTGGAAACAAATTAGGATAGGGATTGCTACTTGAGACTGAAACAATACCATAAATCCAATGAAGGGAACTTAAATTTTACTCCAGACCCTTGTGGGTTACAAGCGACTATATGAAGAAGAGAAACTATGATAACGCCATTCAAAACATATATGAATTCCTTTAAAGACCATGCATTAATGCATCGGTTATATAATTTTTCAGAATACAAGTAGTGGTTACGTTCGTTATTGATGCACCATTAAAATCACATACTAGTAGCAGAAGATATTCTGAAAGAGATACTCTTACTGTTATTATGATAATGGAAACTGATTACTATGACAAAACATATATGGAATGTGGATTATCAAATATCATAGATGATTGATTTTATCACATCAGAGATCATACCAAAATATCCAGGAAGCCTTGAAAGAAAATAAGAAGCACCTACATCTGGGAACAAGCCCAAAGCTGTTTCAGGCATTGCAAAAACCTGTAAAATGGTTCAGAATAAGAGTTAAAATTGCAGAATAAGCCTCCTTACAATAAGAAGAGAGGAACTTTGTATAGGTAAACAGAATGAAGAATGATTATGATAATCCTTATCAAAGTAAAATTTATTTGATTATTATCATGTAAGCATACTACAACAAGATAATTGCACATAGACCCCCTGTAGTATCATTGTTTTGACTAACTACACCTTAGTTTCATTTTGAAAGATGACAACGCGCGCGCGCGCGCGCGCGCGCACAAACAAAAAAAAAAACCCTCCTTTTTTCTATTACTATTTTAGCCAAGGTGAAAGTTTGGCAGATACTGCCCATGTATGAAATTAGTAAGTCTGAGGGTAAGTGAATCAAACAATTTCATCCTATGGTGTTCATCTCCATCTTGTTTTATATACATAATGGTTTACCCTCCCATGAATTTGGAATGGTTTTATCCACCTTGTCTCAACCCGGTATTAACAGTTCCCATCATGTCCACCGCTTGTTTTGCATTGACATAAAGTATATTGCAATTCATAAAGATAGCCAAAGGCGCAGACACTAAACTTTTTATTTTAAAAGAAAAATAATTGATTAAATCTCAGACGACATTTTTAACACTTCTCATGTAATATTTTAATTAAAGCTTTGATAACATATTTCTGATGCACAAAAATAAAAATAAAAATAGAAGCAACACTATTTCTTAAAATCTTACCTTAAACCAACAAGATTAAGCATGCAAGACTGGAATATAGCACTATTTCATATAAAGCTCCTCTTCCCCACCACAGAGATTAAGACCCCATCGTCAACACACAAAGAATAAGTGTAAATAAGAACACCCTGTAACAGGTTCCTAATGCATAACATCCCTTTTTTTTTGGCTATAGCTAATAACTTGTCACAGGGGTGATAGCTTCTCGTACAAAAATATTTTTCTTTGAACATGCCTAGAGCAATGTTCAAAGAGCATGGGCCAAATTAAGAAACAAATTTTTATCTAGCCAGAATAGTAGATTTCAGAAGATCAAACAGTAAGTAATGAATCTTTGGTCATTCTTAGACACCCCAGAGGTTATAGCGAAAATGAAAGTCAATATCTAGGTTGCACAGGTACGGGTATGGGTACATAACACGGCAAATTTGTAAAAAGTAGGGTACGGGGACACGGCTCATATATATATATATATATATATATATATATATATATATATATATTATATATTATATATTATTAATATATATATGATATATATATATATATATATATATATGAGAAATATGAGTATGCCTGGTACCAAGCACAAATTTTATGCTTGGTAGTGATGTGTCACATCCTCATCCACTTCATACCCATGTGAATTTGTTCCCACATTTAAATGAGTAGAGGAGGATTTGACACCTCACTACCCAAACACAACTTTTTGTGCTTGGTACCAAGCATACCCAATTTCTCTCCCCCCTCTCCTCTCTATATATATATATATAGAGAGAGAGAAAATGGGTAGGCTTGGTACCAAACACAAAAAGTTGTGTTTGGTAGGAGATGATATAATCCCTCACTCATTCAAAAGTTGCATATCCCCACTGCACTTCCATATCCATGTGAATGTTGATCCCCCTTTTGAATGAATGGAGAGAATTGTGTCACTCACTACAAGCACAAAATTTGTGCTTGGTACCAAACATACCAATATATATATTATATATATATATATATATAATATATATTATATATATATATATATATATATATATATGGGTATGCTTGGTACCAAGCAACAAAATTTATGCCTGGTAATGAGGTGTCATATTATCCTCCACTCATTCAAATGGAGGGACCACATCACATGGGTGAATGTGGTCCCCCCAATTGAATGAGTGGATGAGAATGAGACACTCACTACCAAGCACAAAATTTGTGCTTGGTACCAAGCCATACCCATTTTCTCATATATATATATATATTATATATATATAATATATATATATATTATTCGAAGAGAGAGAGAGAGAGCAAGAGAGAGATTAATGGGTATCCTTGATAAGGAGAGGATATTCCTCATTGATAAATATGTCGCACAATCTCCACCATGTGAAAGCGAGAGAATAAAGTAGAAGAGAGAAATTTCACATTGGGGATTGATGCCCATCATTTCAAGGAGCGGATCCCCCTCCTTGTCAAGGATACCCATTAATCTCATATATATATATAATATATATATATATATATATATAAATATATATATATATATATCATTACAATTATATAACACTATAGCAGTTTACTATGTTTAGTTTCAAATTCTCAATAAAATAAGCTCATCCCTTAAAATTATAAAGTAAACTCATTTGAAACTTTGACTTTATATTCCACATAAGCATAAAAAAAGAATAAATAAATAAATAAATAAATAAATAAATACGTACGTATATACATACATATACACTTACCTATTTAAATATGAGAACACATGTCTCCCATTCTTAGCATTGTCATTAATTTTAAAGAAAAGACGAAAGCAAATATTCAAGCACCCATGTGAATGGTGATGTCATTCCACTAACAAATTTAAAACTAAGGAAATAAGAGAGAGAGAGTCTTCTTCTTCCTTGCATCTAAACTCATTTTCCTTTGCTCCAAAACTCCCGTGTCCCCTCCGTTTGGGTGCGGAAACGTACCCAAACCGCACCCGACACGGGTACGGCACCAAAATTGCCATGTCGGGGTATCATAGGTCAATATCCTGCTCAGGCTATAACCATGCACTATAAAAACATCAAAAGTAACCACAACTGGAATGAGCAAGAAACTGATTCCCTGGAAAAGTATCAAAATTTCTCGATTTGCATAGAAGTTCACACATGAAAAACTAAATTAGATATGGAGATTGTACCGATTTCTCTGTAGCGACTCGAAACCTTCCATGAATAGAGACACCAGCCCCACCCCCCATTACGATTCCATTCAGAATGGAAACCTTTTACAATCAAATTAGACCAAATTTAACCGCATTTATTGAGAAAAGCAATACAAAAAATTTTCAGGAGAGATAAATCATATGATTCATGAATCACCTGAGGTTTTCTGTAAGTCGCAATTATATAGTTCAAGATATACTCATTCCAGAAAAAGTTTGCACCATTTGTCCAATGACCTGATGCATAACAAAGTAAACGATATCCATTCATGCTTTAACTAAAATCATCACTTTGCAGTATCAATTGGAACAGGACTTTCGTATGATAAAAAAACTAGCATGATCTATAGCTAGCAATCATACAACAAAAGAAGACAGCATGCAATTTTTGTCTCATAAGTAATAGCCAAGGCTCAGAATCTGGTGGGATCATTTGGTATTAGATATAAGAACCTTCTGTAGCAGAACGGGCTACTGCTGATACATCTCCTCCAGCACAGAAGGCCCTTCCCTTTCCCTAAAAGCAATGCATCAATCAAATATTGACTAATAAAATCAGCATATGGTAATCAAAACAAGGAAGAATCAAAATGCAAAAAAAGAAGTAAAGTTGAGCATAACAAGAAACAGCTAGGGAAAAAATGATTACAAAAAAAATACAAAACATTCAATTAGAATAAAGAAAACAATGGGTTGTGGACTCTTCCTTTCTTGCCAAAAACTACAGTATTATCAATACTTCAAGGTTTTGTCTGTCATGTTGTAGCACATAGTCAGACCCGCATGTCCATTTTGCAACAGAATAATGGTTGGCACGTTCGTGTATGATAAACTTTCAATGGTGGCCTCGGATATCTATCCTCTTTAGTCTTTGCAATGAATAAATCCTGTGTATGCAATTATCAATAAAGAAAATATACCTTCATAATTAGCAGCTTAACTGTAGGATCCTCTTCATAAGCAGTGAAGAGCTTCAGCATTTTCAAAATCTGAAACAACAATCACGATGTATAGTTATACTATTTAAGGCTGTAAAAAGACACAAATAAAGGCACAGAAACTTGGAGTTCTTTGAACATCATAGATGATGACTATATAATTTTGTTCCTGAAAGTTTAGTTCCACATACAAGACTGATGTAAATGTCCATAGACTAGATTATTTTTGGCACATTTTCTAAATGTTACCAATGTTATTAAATCCAAATATGTTTCACTTGAGCAAATACTATGGGAAACACTCTCCAAAGCATCTTCTAAGTACGGATGCAAAAAGATATGGATAATAAGTTATCAACTGATATATCATCATCCATACCTGATAGGATACAAATTACACACACACACACACACACACATATACACACACATATACACATATACATATACATATATATACCTATAGATGTATATGTATGTGTGTGTGTGTATCTCCAGTAGGATATAGATACAAAAATGGATATTTTTTATAAATTTGTCACAAAGAAGAATACAAATACAATAAAATATCCAGATTCATATCCGGATATCCAGGTATATGCAGCAATGAGTAGGATGAAATTATTTTAACATTAGATTAATAGATCTGAGATAACTTTAGTAATTTAGAGCTCTAACCTTCGCTAGTAGATATCTTGAACACATGGATGAACTTTGATTAGAGAAATTTCAATTCATTTAAACAACTTTTTATAACATGACCTATATACTTTTGAATCTTATTTGTTTCCTCATATCTGCTTTTATCGCTACATGCTTTTGTCTTAATCAATTGGTAGCTATATTTTGTTTTGGCGGATGTGAATTGCAGAGTTTTTCGTAACCCGAACTATGTTAGCTTCCAAACCTTAACAATGTACACCAGTAATAAGAGCATACGGACATAACAACCATTATATCCGATCCGCACTTGCGCAATTTAGTAATTTATAGAACTATAATATATTTTTCGGGGCTACGTGGTCTATGAAACTTCAACTACTTATAAATATAATTTTGAAGTATTTCAACTTGTCTTACCGGTGTATCATATGCCGTGAAATCAACGGTTCAGAATTTTCTTAAAGTTGCTCTTTTTTGCCCCTAGATATTTAATTAAAAACACATCAAAATCTTTGCAACTTCTGTCTGTATGTAGTACATGAGTATTACAACTCATCCAACGGTACGGATTTTCAATTTGAGAATAAAAAATTTAGATTTGACTTGATAGTATGTGCACTTTCGTTACTAACTATAGTAGCCTAGCTCAACAACAGATAATGCGCATCGTATCCATTTCTAGTAATTAGACTCTTAAATTGACAAATAATAATAATCAAATCCATACCATTTCAGAAGAGAGGGCGTTCAACTGCCTCGGCCTGTTCAAAGTCAGTACGCTCGCGCATCCTTTCTCTTCTACCAAAACCTAGCAAGAATTGAGCATCAAAAGTGTAAACTTTGGTTTTAATTGGGCTGGGCAAATCTTTGGAAAGTTTTTTTTCTATTTTCTCTCAAAATTAAATGAGTAAGGAAATCAGAATGGGTTACCTGGTCGGAGTCGACGATGTTTCCTTTGATTTGGGGAGCGGCCATGGCTTCTTGCTGATTGAAACCTTAGGGTTCTTTTATTTTCTGTAACAATGTTGGAGCCTTTTTCTGTAATAATTTGATGGAGGGAGTAGGATTGTAGAGGACGGAAGTGAAAATTGATTTAACTGACGTCTCTGCCATTTTCTTTATATTTTTCTTTTTTTTCTTTTTTTTTTCTCAATTTTTCCTCCTAATAAGTCAGAACTTTTTATGGTTTGTTTGGGAGTTTACTAAAGAGGATGTTATTCATTAGGATAATTTTGAGAGTTAAATAATGGAAGGAAGGAAAGATAGGGAATGGAAGTGAAAAGAAAAAATATTGTTTGAGAGTTTAGTAAGGGGAACGGAAGTAAATTTGTTTTACTTTGTTTGAGAGTTCTAATAAAGAAGAGGGAATTAAAGTGAATATGTATAAAGTTAAATAAATATCTTTACATATTGGATGAGAGTATATCTTAGCCATTAGTTTTAATGTCATAAGGGTATAATTGTCTTATCGCATTGTAAAATTTTACATCGATTTTTATTCCATCCCCTGCCCCCCAAATTGGAGGGGGAGGAAAAAGGAAGAAAATTTAATTTTCCATTCCATCCTCTAACTCCTCAAAAAACTCTCAAATAAGGTAAAAATTGAAATTTTATTTTAACTTCCATCCATTAATCTCCATCCAAACAATGTGCTAACGTCTTCGCTCGCTGCTCTCATCTCGTGAGCCTCATATGGATACTCACCTTTTTAAGAGTTTTAGATATATCCTCGAAAACCCAAAATAATAATGATAATAATGTAGATATTATTCTATATTAATTTGTCCCTATCGGTTTTTGAAAGGGTTAATTATAGAAAACCGCCATAAACTTTTAGGAAGTTATAGTAACGACCCCACGCCTCAAACCAAAAAATAAAAACAAAAACAAAAACAATAATAATATTATTCTTATTATATTAAATCCTCCGAGTTATTGCAAATAACTCCTATGAACGGTCACTAAATTTTCATTTAATCTTCAAATCATATCATGTGCCAAAAAAAAAAAATACCAAAAACAATTGCTCAGTCTAAAAATTTACCTATTTATCATTTTTAATAAAAGGGTATATTTTTGAACTAGGAATGAATTTTTTGTCTTTTCTATCTTATGCTTACTAGTGACACATTAAAGTACTTTTTGAACTAGGAATGGATTTTTTTGTCTTTTCTGTCTTATGCTTACCAGTGACATATGAGAGTACTTTTTGAACTAGGATTGAATTTTTTGTCTTTTCTGTCTTATGCTTACTAGTGACACATTAGAGTTGGTGGTAATAATATGATGATTAAAAGATAAATTTCATATACAATTCAGTGAAATAAATCAGTTCATGAGAGTTATGTGCAATAACTCATAGGGTCTTACTGCAACTCCCCAAAAGTCTTGGGGTTTTCTATGATGAACCTGTTTTTTGAAATATATAGTCTAATGCCTCTGTGGAAAACATGTGTTTACGTAGGTAAACTATTATTATTATTATTATTTTTTGAGAGCATCTGTCTCTAGTGTACCTATTATCACGGCTGTTTACCGCTAACATACAATCGATTTTATTCAAGGACAGTTGCAATTCATCTTGAACGAAATACGAATTACAAAGTGTACGAGAAAAAAATAAATCACAATCATTCACTAAACCAATCACAATCATTCACTAAACCAACGTACATAATTGAAGAGCGGATTTGAGCCAAATCTTTAGCATTTCTGCATACTCTTCATCTTCAACAGCCAAGAAATCAGTATAATCAAGTAAAGCACTGAAATTATTTTTTCTTAAATACCATTAGCAAGATACAATAACAAAAGCCTTTACCCCCACATATTTGGGATCGGCTAAAATCTAAACATATAATGTGTTAGTAACTAAAGCAGCAAATAATAAAATGAGTAATGATAACTGTACAAACAATTTGCACTATTTTTGTACTAACACAAACAAAAGAGTGAGCTCCATAGTGACTCAAATTTTTTTGACATTTTCAAGAAAGAACCCTAAATAGTGAGAGGACAAACCATTTGTACTATGATTATCATTTTCCAAAATTCTTAAGCATTAGTATTTAAGGAGAAGAAATACAACGTCACCAACAAGTCAACAACAATTACTGTCATTATTCAGCATGTTTGATTCATAAACGTTATGCAAGTTTTATCGCTGTAATAGAAGGAATAATTTTATTTGCTGTCATTATTCATCATTTTGATTCATACACTTTTAACTTACAAAGAACAGATATTGACTTGCAACATAAACCAGCATTATTTAGAGATGCAATTAAGGTAATGACTTCATTGTCTTCCAACACAAGGTAGTCAAGACTCTAACAAACTTCCTCAGATTTTTGACAGGATATTTGGGTCATGACCTCCAGGAAGTTTCAATTCTTCCCACCCAGCATCATCAACCTTTGAGAAATATTTATCTACCATATCATCATCGATCTGATCCAACCGAGATGGCTCCCACTGCAAATACCGCAACAGACAAGTAATTGCTATGCTGCAAACATGATAATTTACTTTTCCAAATCTAAAATAATTTTGGGTTTTGTTTTTCGATATTAGTCCCTTAAATCGTTCATATTTTTAAATTAGTCTCTCAAATAACTGAAATTCCTATAAGGTCCCTCAATTCTTAAGTTATTTTGAAATTAGTCCCTCGAATTAAGAGTATAATTAGCAATTAGAGGGATTAATTTTGAACAACTTATGAGAACTGGGAGACTAAATAGCAATTTCAATTATTTGAAGGATTAATTTTGAAATAACTTAAAGAATTAGGGGATCTAATAGCAATTTCAACGATTTGAGGTACTAATTTCAAAATATAAACAATTTTAGCAGGAACTAGGACAGATATGAGCACAAAGAATCCAACCTTTGGGTTTCTATCTTTATCGACTAGTATAGCCCTGCATCCCTGCATGTCAAAAGCTTGGCTATAACACAGGCAAAAGAAATACGTTGACGGTAGATTAATCGCTGTAAGAAATACCTCGAAGAAGTCCTTGCTGAAATCTTTTCGTAGAATATGGCAACACATTCTGTACTCTCGGACAAGGCATTGGCCAACTTGTTGAGTTTGCCCTTCTCTTATCTGGAACCTCACAACAAATAATGCAGATATCATAAATAACTTTACATCTCATCATGCTCAATGTCTATGTTTCAGTGTTGTATGTGGTAATGTTGTTCCCTAGCCTATCCAAGCCGAAATTACTAAAAAGAGTTGGAGAAATTTACCAGCCAGTCAGTGTGAAACATCATAGGTGCTATCATGCTAGGGTCTAAAATTCAAGCCGTGCACATAACAAAATTCTCAAATAGCCAGATATTGACGAACAGGACAATCAGTTGTTTCTATACCTTGAACTCAGATGTTTAATCTGATGAATAGAAAGATTTGTGAAAACGGCGAAGGAATTGTGAAAAATGTGAAGAAAAATCCAAAACAAACTCCACTACACCCTGGTGTGGTGTCTGCCATGGGTGTGACAGAATCTGTCATGTCTGCCATGGGTGTGGTGTCTGCCACACCCTGGTGTGGTGTCTGTTACACCCTGGTGTGGCAGAATCTGCCCTGTTTGTCATGGGTGTGGTGTGTGCCACACCAGGGTGTGGTGTGTGCCACACCAGGGTGTGGCAGACTCGTTTTTAGAATCCTAATCTATTTAGGATTGTGTTTTGTTATAAATAGAACCACGTTTTTTAGGGTTTCTTAAGGAGAAAAAAGGAGAGAATTAGGGATTGTGTTTTGTTATAAATAGAACCACGTTTTTTAGGGTTTCTTAAGGAGAAAAAAGGAGAGAATTAGCATTGTTTTGAGCACTTTGAGAGGGAGACGTTTTTTAGGGTTTCTTAAGGAGAAAAAAGGAGAGAATTAGCATTGTTTTGAGCACTTTGAGAGGGAGATATTGTGAGGGAGTTAGCTTTTGTTAGGGTTATATTTGAATGATTTTGTGAGTTGTAACCCATTGTATTTCTCATCCATATAGTGAAATCTCCCCATCCTCTCCCCGTGGACGTAGGCAATTACCGAACCACGTAAATTCTTGTGTTTGTGTGTAATTTTGGTCGTTATTTTATGAATTGCACTCGTGTTTGGTTTTGGTTTTCTTCTCTCATCGCTCACCGACTCGTTTGATTGTCGAGCACGCTTCCGCACGGCGCGCAACAAGTGATATCAGAGCTCAGATTTTAGATCTAGGGTTTTGGATTAGGTGGAGAAAGATTCAGTTGGAAGCTTGGTTCTTGGAGTTCTAGGCTTTGGTGGAGTTAGGGTTTGAAGTTGCCGTTGAAGATCTCGCTTTCCTCGTATGGTTAGGAGTTCTATTTGGAATCCAATCTAGGGTTCAGTTGGGTAACTTCTAAATTCTATAAAGTTTGAATCTTTCTTTGCAATTTGGAGTTTGTGATTATGGGTGAAGAAGTTGGTGAAAGCAGCAAGATGACGGGTACAGTTCAAGTGGGTTTTCAGAACACTAAGATTAGTGTAGTGAAATATGACTGCAAAATCAATTTTGGTTTGTGGATGAGCGATGTACAGGATGCGCTCAATGCTCAAAATTTAGAGGAGACCATCATGGTCGATGTGAGGCTACCTAAATATGAAGAGGCGGTATGGGAAAAGATGAATAGGAACGCTTGTGGGGTGATCATGTCCTGTTTGGAACAGGAGCTGAAATATGATGTGATTGGGGTGACGTTTGCGATGAAGATGTGGGAAATTCTCAACAATAAGTATCTTACGAAGAGTGTTGAGAACAGGTTGCATTTGCTGCGTAGGTTATTCAGATTCCAGATGTCTCGAGGCACCTCGCTTGCGGCTCATGTGAACAACTATACTAAGTTGTTGTCGGACTTGGCGAACGTGGATGAGAAGATCACGGATGAGTACAAGGCTATTATTCTTTTAGGCTCCTTACCGGATGAGGAGTCTGATACCTTCGTGCTTACTTTGCTGATTGCTGAACGGGAGATCTTCTATCACTTATAGTGAAGTGACTAACGCATTGACGAACTACGATTTGAGGAGGAAGGATAATGAGACTTCCCGCGCTAGTACTTCAGGAGAGGCCTTGTCGACGAGAGGTAGAAGCCCATATCTGAAAGGTGATAATCGAGGAAGGTCAAAGTCAAGAGGTCGTTACCAGCTAACTAAGAACCAGTGTGCGTTCTGCAAGGAACTAGGACATTGGAAGAGAGACTGCCCAAAGGTCAAGGAAAAGGAGAATAGCAAGAAAAAGGGCCCGAAGGCCAATGATGTGAATGTTGCGAAAGACGATGATTCTGATGATTCGAGCTTTTCTCTTTTGATTACTCCAGAGGTGAACCATTTGGATGCATCGGATTGGATACTTGATTCTGGCGCTACTTATCATGTAACTCCTAGGCGAGATTGGTTTTCATCGTTTGAGAAACTCGACGGGGGTGTTGTTATCATAGGAAATGATCAATCCTGTGGCATTTGTGGGATAGGTACTGTGAGGATTCGGATGCACGATGGAGTAGTCTGTGAGTTGAAAGAGGTGAGATTCGTTCCTCAACTAAAGAAGAATCTTATCTCAGTTGGAGTTTTGGAGGCTAAGGGATTCAGGATGACCTTTGAGAACGCTGTAGCGAAGGTTACTAAGGGATCTTTGGTGGTGATGAAGGGAGTCCGCAGTCGAAATTTATACTATCTGAAGGGGAGCACCGAGATTGGCCAGGTTGCTTCGGCTACTTCAGAAGCGGACATGAGTAGGCTTTGGCATTACAGGTTAGGACACACAGGAAAGAAATCACAGCAGGCTTTGTGCAAGCAGGGGCTATTGAAGGGAGCCAAGAGTGATAAAGTGGAATTCTGTGAGCACTGTGTTCTTGGCAAGAAGACGAAGGTGAAGTTCGGGATGACCATTCATAGGACGAGGGGCATCTTGGACTACGTGCACATAGATGTTTGGGGTCCCATCAAGACTGCATCACTTGGTGGTCGACATTGGTTCGTCACGTTTGTTGATGACTATTCTAGACGTTGTTGGGTGTACATCATGACAAAGAAGAGTGAAGTCCTAGATATATTTGTGGAGTGGAAGAAGAGATTAGAACTGCAGACTGGGAGAAAGATCAAGACGTTACGATCCGACAACGACGGTGAGTATACTTCAGACCCCTTTCAGCAACTATGTCGAGACGAGGGCATAGAGAGGTACTTCACAGTTAGTCATACACCGCAGCAAAATGGGGTGACAGAGATGTTAAATCGGTCTTTGCTGGAGAAGATTCGATGCTTATTAGCGTATAGTGATTTGGAGAAGATCTTTTGAGCTGAGGTACTTTCATATGCGAGTCACCTCATTAATAGGCTGCCTTCATCTGCGATTGAGGGAAAGACCCCTATGAAGATGTGGTCAGGAGAGACATCACATGACTATGACCAGCTTAAGGTATTTGGTTGCCCTGCATATTATCATGTTAGAACTGATAAATTGGAACCTCGAGCTAGGAAGGTCATATTTGTAGGATTCAAGCGTGGTGTCAAGGGATAAAAGCTTTGGGATCCAGTTGATAAGAAGATTGTGCTGAGTAGGGACGTCACATTCAATGAGGCTTCTATCTTGAAGCTTCCCAACTCTCATCAGGTGGAGAGCGACCCAGCAAAGGAGATATCGCAGGTGATAGAGATTGATGCAGCTCCACAGTATCCAGATGGTACAGTATCCATTAGAATGCCGACTGAGGTGACGCCAGGCGAGCACGACGGTGATGCGGAGGATACAGTACTCATGTGCAGGATCAGGGACCGACGGCTCAGGTTCAGGATTCTATTGTGGTTCGGAGACAGAGGAGAGACATACAGATGCCAGCACGGTATGCCGACACAGTTGCATATGCACTTTCGGTGGAGAGTATCAATGAGATGATACCTACTACTTTTAGAGAGGCCGAGCAGAGTTCGGAGGTTGATTCGTGACAGGTAACTATGCAGGAGGAGATGAAGTCTCTTCATAAGAACGATACATGGGAGCTTGTTGAGCTTCCAAAGGGGCGGAAGGCGATTGAGTACAAGTGGGTGTACACGAAGGAGGGCATTAAGAGCATTCCATTGAGGTTCAAAGCTAGGTTGGTTGCGAAGGGCTATGCACAGGAGGAAGGTATTGACTATAATGATGTTTTCTCTCCGGTGGTGAAGCATTCTTCGATTCGGATTCTGCTAGCTTTGGTGGCACAGTATGAATTAGAGTTAGATCAGTTGGATGTGAAGATGACATTTCTTCATGATGATCTTGATGAAGAAATATATATGACTCAGCCATTGGAATTCCGAGCTGCAGGGAAAGATAAGTTGGTTTGCAGGTTAAAGAAATCGCTATACGGTTTGAAGCAGTCTCCTCGACAATGGTATAAGCGATTTGATGGTTTTATGCTTCGCCATTCGTACACTCGGAGCCAGTTTGATCCTTGCGTGTATTTTCGCAAGTTGAGAGGAGGTGCGTACATCTATTTGTTACTTTATATCGATGACATGTTGATTGCCTCAACTTCCAGGTCGGCTATAAATGAGTTAAAAGTTCAGCTTTCAAATGAGTTTGAGATGAAGGACTTAGGTGAGGCCAAACGCATTTTGGGAATGGAGATCGGTAGAGACAAGAAGAATGGTAGAATTTGTTTGACACATGTGGCTTATTTGAAGAAGGTACTACAGCGATTTCATGTTAGCATGGATACGAAGCCAGTTAGTGTACCATTGGGAGCCCATTTGAAGCTTGCAGCTGGTCTTTCACTGAAGTCAGTTGAAGATCGAGAGTTGATGTCGAAGACTCCATATGCGAGTGCAGTTGGGAGCTTGATGTAGAAGTCAGTTGAAGATCGAGAGTTGATGTCGAAGACTCCATATGCGAGTGCAGTTGGGAGCTTGATGTATGCGATGGTATGTACGAGGTCGGATTTGTCACAGGCGGTGAGTATGGTTTCGAGATACATGCACGATCCAGGAGTGGGTCATTGGGACGCAGTGGTCCGTCACCATTCATTGTGATAGCATGAGTGCTATCTATTTGGTGAAGAATCAGGTTTTTCATGCGAGGACGAAGCACATTGACGTTCGTTATCACTTCG